CGACGGCATTCTTATACACCAATGATGAACTCACAGAAAGAGAAACTGAAAAAACAATCCCATTTACCATCATGGCAAAAGAATTAAGATATCTAAGAATAAACTTAACCAAAGAAGTAAAGGACCTATTTGCAGAAAACTACAGGACATTAAAAAAAGAAATAGAGAAAGATATAAAAAAGTGGAACCACATACCTTGTTCATGGATTGGAAGAATTAACATCATTAAAATGTCCACATTACCCAAAGCAATCTATAGATTCAATGCAATCCCCATCAAAATACCAATAACATATTTCACAGAACTAGAACAAATACTTCAAAAGTTCATCTGGAACCAAAAAAGACCCCCTATAGCCACAGCAATCTTGAAAAAGAAGGACAAAGTAGATGGGATCACAATACCAGATATCAGGTTATACTACAAAGCGACTGTAATCAAAACAGCCTGGTACTGGCACAAGAACAGGCATATAGACCAGTGAAACAGAATAGAGAACCCAGAAATGGACCCAAGACTCTATGCTCAATTAATATTTGACAAAGGAGGCAAGAGCATACAATGGAGTAAAGACAGCCTCTTTGATAAATGGTGTTGGGAAAATTGGACAGCTACATGCAAAAAAAAAAAAAAGAAAAAAGAAACTAGACCATCAGCTTACACCATACACAAAAATAAACTCAAAATGGATAAAAGACTTAAATGTGACCCATGACTCCATAAAAACTCTAGAAGAAAATGTAGGCAGCAAAATTTCAGACATCATATGCTGCAGAATTTTCACTGATACATCACCTAAGGCAACAGAAACAAAGGAAAAAATGAACACATGGGACTACATCAAACTAAAAAGCTTCTGCACAGCAAAAGAAACAATCATCAAAATGGAAAAGCAACCCACTGTATGGGAGAACATCATTGCCAATGATACATCAGATAAGGGGTTAGTCTCCAAAATATATAGAGTACTCATACAACTCAACAAAAGGAAGACAAAGAACCCAATTAAAAATGGGCAGAGGAGCTGAATAGACACCTCTCCAAACAGGACATAAAAATGGCCAAGAGACATATGAAGAAATGCTCAACATCACTAATCATCAGAGAGATGCAAATTAAAACAACAATGAGGTATCACCTCACACCTGTCAGAATGGCCGCCATCAACAAATCATCAAACAACAAGTGTTAGCGAGGGTGTGGAGAAAAGGGGACTCTAGTATACTGCTGGTGGGAATGCAGACTGGTGCAGACACTATGGAAAATAATATGGTGTTACCTCAAAAAATTAAAAATTGAACTTCCATTTAACCCAGTGGTCCCACTTCTAGGAATATACCCTAAGAAGCCTGAAACACCAATCAGAAAGAATATATGTACCCCCATGTTCATAGCAGCACTATTTACATTAGCTAAGATCTAGAAACAGCCCAAGTGTCCATCAGTAGACGAATGGATTAAAAAAGGTGTGGTACATATACACAATGGAGTACTATGCAGCTGTAAGAAAGAAAGATCTCTTATCCTTTGAGATGACATGGAGGGACCTGAAAAGTATTTTCCTAAGTGAAACAAGCCAAGCAGAAAAAGACAAATACCACATGATCTCACTTATTTGTGGAATATAATGAACATAACAGTCTGAGGAATAGGGTAGACCCGGAGACATGGAGGTAGGGTACAGACTGACAACCCTCAGAAGAGGGGGTGGTGGGGAAAGGGAGGAGATAAACCACAGAACTTGTGTGCATGTACGCATAATCAATGGACATGGACAACAAAGCCGGGGACCAGGCGGGGGAAGGGGGGAATGGGGAGGAGGATGTCAATGGGGTAAAAAAGGAGAAACATCTGTAACAAAAATAAAATTTAAAAAAAAAGAGAGACACATCAACTGACCGCCTCCAGCACGACCCCAACCGAGGCCCGGGGACCAAACCACAGTCCAAGTATGTGCCTTGGCCAGAATCAAACCTGAGACTCTTCTGTCGGCGGCCAACACTCTAACCGTTGAGCCAAACTGGCCAGGGCGGCAACATTTTTTAATAATGATGTAAAAGTCAGAGTTACAGCAGGCCCTAAGGTTCCAGGCAGGAGAGTGTCATTGGGGGCGGCGGTGGCCTCCGAGCCCTCTGCCCTTCTCACCTGCACCCGTCGGCTCTGTGTACGATTCCACCTCGCGCCCCTTCGCTTCTGCACCTGCCTGTGTATCCCTCCTGCGAGACGTGGGGAGCCTAGCAAAGCATCCAGGACTTGAAGAGCATCCACTGTGCCCTGAATGAACCGATGTCACCTCCCCTCTCTCACCTTGTCTCCCTGACGGATGAGGGGGGCTAGCAGTCTGTCACTGACCATCACCTGCCTCCACAAAGGTGCTCGTTCAGCCCGGACACCCATGTTCCTAATGGGATTGTCTGGGAGGCAATGGGACCAGGTGCCCCCCTGCATTCCCCGTTATGGGTTGAATAGTGTCTCCCCAAAAGATATGTTCACATTCCAACCTCCAGTAACTCACAATGTGACCATATTGGGAAAGGTCATTGTCGATGTTACTGAGATGGTTCCTGATCTAATACGACTGGTGTCCTTACGAAGAGGGGGTTCGGACGCAGTCTCGCACACGGAGAATCGTGTATAGATGAGCTCTCTGAGGACACCCGCCGCCCATCCCTGGACAGTCCAGCCTCCAGACTGAGCAGCTATGTTTCTGTTGTTTAAACCCTGCATTTTCTGGCTCTGTTACGGCAGCCCCAGGAAACCAATCCTCGCACAACCCGCTTCCCCACGGGGAGTACACTCATTGCTGTCAGCCGCCCCAGGAATAGGCCATCGCTGGCAGCAGAGACGGTGGTGTGCTTCGCGGGAAATGCATCTGTAATGCACACACGAGGACGTCTCCTGCCCTGCAGGTGGGGGTGCATGTCAGAGGGGCCCGTGGAGCTGCGTGGCTGCCTGAAAGTGGCAGAAACACGCTCCGTGGGCACCCTGGGAGCCACCCTGGGGAGAGCCCTCCCCCTCTGCTTGTCAGACGGGGGAGCCCTGCCACAGAGGTGTCATGAAGTGAGCTTCTCGGAGGTGGTCTGCTCCAGGCGCCCAGGGCCCCGCACAGCAGGTGCCAGGAGTCCATGGCTGCTCCCTAACATCCACACCCCACTTCAGCCGTGGCAGGGATGCGGCCCCCCACCCTCACTCTGGGTGTGAGCCATGTCCGCAGCTGATCGGCCATTCTGGGGCCAGCGTGCGCTGGAAGGAGGGAGGCGGTGAGCCCGTCTGCAGCCGGCCCCGGGAGCCCTTGCCTTCCTAGAACGTGCCCCTCTGCCTGTTGGGCCCCGGCCACGGGCTCGCTGGTTCCGGTTCTCAGCCTCCTAGACCTGGCCCCGCTGGCTCCCGGGCCACGGCCACAGGGCACCCCTTCCACTGCACCCCGAGCTACCCCCGGCCTCCCACATGCCAACTACGGCAGGCAAGTCCCCATCACCTCTCCCTCATACCCCGGTGCCTTTGTTTACGCCAGCGTCCAGCCCCAGCCGGGAGCCTGCCAGTCCTCAGACCTGGGTTAACATCCGCCAGTGCCGGGGTTTGTGCACAGGAAGACCTGTGTCTAGACAGGGAGTGGTCAGCATTGGCGGATCTGCCTCTGTCATGGCTCATGATAAACTGCCACCAAGAACTGCTATTTATCACCAGCCCTGTGCCGATGGCCCCTCAAGAACCCCGATGGAAAAGAAGAGGTAACGACAGAATCCGGTCACCCTGGGCCTCCCTTCGAGCTGGAGACCCCATGACTGTAGACCACCCAAGTATAAAACACCTCCCTTCACCTCCTCTCTGGCAAGTTGCAAGTCATCCTTCAAGACCAGCAGACAACCGCTAGTTGTCCCGAGATGTGTTCTTCCATCTTCTACACACCTCAGTCAGTGCCCAGCCACGTGGCCAGCCAGCAGGGCTCCCCAGTCTCCCCTGCATCTAGCAGCGGGCACACGACTACTTTCCCGCCAAGGGGACCGGAGCGGAGGTGGGGTGCCGCTTTCCTGCCGGGTCTGAAAGGCAGGGAGCCCTGGCCGTCCCCTCCCTCCTCCCTGCTGGCCCTGGTGTGACGGGTGGTGGCAGCTGGGGGAGCGTTCCTGGGGCACTGTGGCAGCACCGCTCACCGTGGACTTTCAAACAACAGGAAGTAAACTTGCCCTGTGTTGGGTCTCTACTGGGAGCCAGGGAAGGGGGTGGGGGCGGGGAGAGGCGTGAAGCCAGACTCCCGGGGTTCAGCCCCAGGTCCACCACTCCCGTCAGTGTGAGCTTGGCCAAGCCACTTACCATCTCTGTATCTCAGACCCCTCCCCTGAAGCACGGAATAAAATAGCCACCCCCGGTGGCGTGACGATAGGATTGGTTAATGCCACACGAAGCGGGTGGGGCGGAGCCGGGCACGTCATTCAAGCAGTGTTAGCGGTGGCGGCGACCAGCCTGGAGCTGAGGGAACACACAGGTGCCCCTCTGCGGTCCTTCTGGATGGAATGGGCCTTGGCGGGCCGTGTCTGCTGTGCCCCAGCACCCCTGCACCCCTGCACCCACAGCACCCCTGCACCCGGAGCTGCTCCGGAGACATGCTCTGAGCTGCACGGAGCAGAAACCAACGCGCCTCGCAGATCCATGGGAGAGGGCAATAATGTTTCGTCCACGGGGGAAAAGTCAGGTTAAAGGCTGCTTCTGGACCAAGGAGTGTATTTTTTTTAATCCTCACCTGAGGATATGTTTTTATTGTTGTTTTTGTTTTTAGAGACAGAAAGGGAGAAAGAGAGAGAGAGGGAAAAAAACATCTATGTGAGAGAGAAACAGATCGAATACCTCCTATACTTGCCCTGACTGGGAATCGAACCTGCAACCTTCTGAGAAACCAATCCTCTTAGGCACCCGGCCAGGCAAGTGTATTTTTGTAATAAATGTGACTCCTCGAGGTTACCGCGTTTCATACATGAATGGCTCGGAGGAAGAGACTTTTTCATTATCGACTTCTTGTATTAAACTGTGTGAAATAATCTTCAGTGGGATGGTCTGTACAGACTTCCTTCATTAATTTTTTCCTGACAATAAAACAAGAAAAAACACAATCAGCAAATGCCTGACTTCCTCGTCTGCCTTGTTTTTAACACAGAAAAGAGCCCACACGGCTCTGATGCGTGTTTCCCAGGCCGCTCGGCCGCTGCGGGCTGGTGACGCGGGTGTTTGACCACGGCCTGGGGAGGTTGCAGGGTTCCATCTGCACAGGTGTGACTGAAAGCACATGTGCTCGTCCCACTTGATGTCGTCAGATCACGTCTTAATGCCTCTCTTGGGCCCCCAACAGAAGTGACCAAGGGACGATGGGCCGCTGGTGAGCAGGTATCAGATGTCGGACTGGGGAAAACACCCGTGGGGCCCTTCCGAGTTCAAGCCGAGCGCTTTATGGACAGATAGGTAAACAGTAAATAATGATGTGGATTTGGTGACATGTTCACCTACTGACCTGCATTTGACATCGCCTGCGGCTGGGACCCTGAGCTGCTCTTGGGGCCTGCATGTCAGTCAGGAGGGAGACTCTGGGCTCGGGGAGCCCTCCCTGCAGCCGGCGGTGGGCACCGTCCTCCACCTCTCAGGCCCACGCAGGGCCCCCCTGCAGCCGGCGGTGGGCACCGTCCTCCACCTGCCAGGCCCACCCAGGGCCCCCCCTGAACTCCTAGGGACCTCAGGGACTTCATCACCAGCATCCATGTCTCAGCCGCTGGGGGTCCCCAGGGCCCAGGTGAGCAACCCCAGGGAGGGGAGTCTGTTTACAGGATGCCACACAGTGGAACCTCAGGCACCTGGTTATGTGGTTTCCAAGCCCTTGACTTCCAGCTTTGTGGCTCGGGCCCCTCCCCCTTCCTGTCTGCATTCTGCACCCGAGGCTGAGCCAGAGTCTAGACCACTACCCCCATGGGGCCTCTGGTCAGCTATACACCACGGGGCCTGGGCCCTTTGGGTGGGAGAGATTGGGGGCAGAGGGTCAGGAAAGCACAGAACCTGCTCCATGGGCCCTGCCGGTCAGCACCCCCACCGCCCACCTGTCCCCCTGGACCCTGAGCGGGCCCCAGCCCTTCAGCCTGGTCTCCCAGCCCTGCCCGGCCCGCCCGGCGCTCACTGCAGAAGCTGCTCCCTGGCCAGGCCGAGGTTGCTGCAGTCCAGGGCTCTGCGCAGGTCACGCTGCTGCCGCCGCCGCTGCCGCTCCATCAGCACGGAGGTGCGGGCGTTCTGGACCCTCTGCCAGTCCCACTCCTGGTCTCTCTGGCGCTCTTCCTCCTGGATCCTCTGAGCGAGGAGAGGGGAGTCAGAAGGGCCTGGGGAACGGCCTCTCGCTTTACAGGTGGGGAAACTGAGGCTCTGGCAGGTGGACAACATCATGCAGGAAATCAGGAGACCCCTGCCTATCAAAGCAGGTGGCCCAGCTGCTGGCCACACCTTGGAGGCACTGGGCACCACCAGGGGGCAGGCTGCTGCTGCTGGCTGAACTCTGGGACCACCCGGTTGTTTCTAGAACCTACTCATCTACAGCCCCACCAGGGACAATGGGTGCATTTCTGCATCTCAGCTCATCCCTCATTGCCCTCCAGACTCTTCTATAAAAACCTCAGACTCCTAGGAGAGACCACTGGATTAATGCAGAGGGCAGAAGTGAACCGCTGAACGTGAGCTGTCTGGTCAGGGGACCAGAGTGAATTACTTCGTCAGCTCTGTGTCTCCTACAGCGAACAGGAGCCAAAGCCCAGGCGCTGGGCCTGAGCCGGAGCCCCTGCCCCCTCCACAGGCTGTAGGCGGGGCTTCCTCCCACCCGAGCAGCAGGGTGCGGGCTTCACCACCCGCAGGGGGAGTGGCTGCCTTAACCAGCCCCCTCCCTGCGAGTCGAGGCCGTCAGAGGTCCTGGACACGGTGCTTTCGTGGAGAGAACAGCCCACCCGGGACCTCTGGCCCAGGCTGCGGGAAGACAGTCTCATGTTCTTCGCTGGGTCTCAAGTCCCCCAGTTGTCTCCAGGCACGGAGGCGGCGTGCAGGGCACCGGCAGGGCCGTGCTGAGTGGGGACACTTAGTGTGGGTTTTCTCCTTTGTGCTTTTCTGTTTCCCAGTTTTTCACAGATTGAAATATCAGTCAAAATGGCTGCTTTTGGGCAGCTGCTCGGCCGTCCCCACCGGGCATTTGGGCTGAGCTGCAGGATGAGGGACGAGCAGCCCTGCAAACCTCTCCCTCCTCTGGGCCGCCCGAGGCAGGTGAGCTGGCCTACCTGCCCCACTCCCTGGTCCAGCCCACTGCCCTCCCCAGCACCTGCCTGACTGGGGACCCCTCCCCGCCCACCTCGGCAGTCACCTGCCCAGCCTGGGGCAGCCCGCCCGGCTCTGCACACTGAGACCTTCTCCCTCCCCCTCCCGTCGTGATTCCGAGTGTTCTCACCACACACAGACCACCCTTCCCTCTCCCCAGCTTCTCAGACATCCTGCCTCCCTTCCAAAGGCCTTGTTCCCACCTGTCAGCGGTCACCACCCCCCCAGTACACCCTGCCTGTGGTCCCTGAACTCCAGTGGACACCAGAACCCTGTGTGGGGGGCTCGCTGAGCCACAGACACGGGCCCAGCAGGGCTTCTGCTTCAGCAGGTCCGCGGTGGACCCTGAGAGGCTGCTGGTCCCGGCTGCTGTGAGAACCTGCCCTTGCCTCATCCAGACCAACGCCACCTCCCTCCTTGGTCCCACCTCCCTGCGGCCCATTCGCCACCACGCTGCGCTGCCCCTTCCGCTCTCGGCAGCACCTCCAGTCCACGACGGCACACCTTCCTCCCCGTTCCACCCCGTGCCCACCACAGCCGGGCAGACTCGCCTCTCACCTGACCAGACGTGCCCGCGAGCCCCGAGGGTGGTGAATCCAACTCTCCTCCCACAGCTGCGTGTGGCCTGCTCACTGGGGACACGTCACCTCATGACCATGAGCTCCAGGGACCCCTGGTACCGCCTGGCCATCCTGCTCCCTCCCCCTCGGCCATCCATTTCCAGCTCTCCTAGGTGACCACGGGCACCTTGATCTGGGTCCTCAAACCTCTGACCCTCCCTCTCTCAGCAGGAAACGGGGTTGGGAGGGGAGCCCCAGGAGCTGCCGCACGGACTCACCCACTGTCACCCCACCCGTGAGCTGTGCACACCAAGCCTCAGCTGCCCCGGGACAGGGCCCCGGCCTTCCTCTACTGCACGGCTCTCACCCAGGACAAGCAAGCAGTCACTGCCACAGCAGAAGAGCAGCTGAGCAGCGTGCCCGTGGCCCCAGTGCCCCACCAGCTGCCACCGGTTTTCTGCATCCGTCACAGCCGAACACCTTGGGAGCTGTGGGCATTTTCTCCACTTCCTCCTGCCCTGTCTCGCAAACCCATCACACAGGCGGTGACCCCGGCTTCTACCACAGAGCGCACCCCACCATGGTGCTGGATCCTGCTAGTCCGCAGAGCCCAGCAAGGGCCTTTGACCCCGGGTTTCCTCTCCTTCCGAGAAACACTCCCTCACTGGGCCTCTGGTCACCAATGCTGGCTCCCTCCTACCTCTCAGCCGCTCCTTCCCGGCCCCGTTGCTCTTTATAAACAGAGCAAGGCGGTCCCGGGGCATCGTTAGAGGCCCTCTCCTCGGTCTACACTCACTGCGCGTGCAATCCCATCCAGGCTCACTGCCTTAAATACTCTCCCGGTGGTCACGACTCCGCCTTGGTCTCCAGACCACAACTCCGGCTGCCTGCCGGGCTCCACTCGGAGGCTGTGGCAGAAAAGATCACTGGACCCCGAGGAACCACGTTCCTTCTGCCTTAGCAGGAGAGTGGGCAGCACGGCACTGCCTGGGATCAGCACCTGTCCCCAGGCTTCCTTCACGGCAGGGACAACCTTGTGACTAGGAGTTGTCCAATGACGGAAATGGAAGTGTCCTCACGGAGCTCCTCCCCGTCCCCTCCGCCTGCTGGAAGGCACGTGGGAGGCGGGAGCCCACACAGCCATGTGCGGGAAGAGGTGGGAGCCGGTGCGGAGGGCGCAGAGCTGGGCGAGTGCCCTTGGAACTGCTCCATCAGCCTGGCTGTTTCCCTAGGGCGTCGTCTCCACGCGAGACCAAATTCTACCAGTTTAAGATGCTGTTATTTGGTGGCTTTGGCTTGTTCAGGTGAGCCAAACCCTAACAGACGTGGCTGTCTGGTGGACACTGCACTTGACCCGAATCGTACTGATTCCCACTCCCCCTCCGACCATCTTCCCCACCCCTGTACCAGCTGCGTCCCCCGCTACTCAGGGAGGGTCTGGAGTCATCCTTACCTCCTGGTCCCTCATGTGCGTGCTCACCCTTTCAACCACTCCTGCGGGCTCCCCTTCAAAGGAGACCCAGAACCCGACCTGTCTCGGCACCCTCATGCCGGTGCCTGGACCCAGCAGCACCGGTTCTCCCCTCAACCAGCGCAACAGCGCCCCGAGGATCTCTCCCCTCCCCCGCCCCCTGGGGTCCAGCCTCACACGGGGCAGGAGGGTCCTGTGCAGTGTCAGTCAGTGATGTCACTGCTCTGCTCCAGACCCTCCAGTGCCCTCCCTGTCACAGGAAAAGCCAGTCCTCACTGCCTCACGGCCTGGCCCTTGCCTGGGGGCCTTTCCCCAGAGGTCTGCATGGCTCCTCCCCTCAGGTCTTAGTTCCGTCAGGTGTCCCTTCTCAGTCTCCTGGTGACGCCTCTGCCCAGCACCCCGTCCCGTCCCTGGCTTACTTTCCTCCCTACACTCACATCCGAGCTGTCTCACACAGGAATGGCTTATTTGGCCCTTGGCACTTCCCTTTGCCCTCCCCCAAGGTAAACCCCTTGAGGGCAGCTGTGACTAGATGCCCCGGAGGGAAGGAGGTGGCGGGGAGGGGTGGCGGGCACCAGCTTCTCCTGCACTTGCTGCTTCTGCACCAGGCGGACCTGCTCCAGCTGCCCCCGGGTCATGCCCTTCCAGCGGTCGGGGACCACGCGGTGCGGCCCGAAGGAGCTGGCTGCCTGCTGCGGGTTCTCCGAGAGCAGGTCCCCGCGCAGCAGGTTGGAGATCTCGGCCAGGTTGTCCTCTTGCTCTTGTTTCTTCTCCAGACTCTTCCTTTCCGCTGACTCCAAGGCCTGGGCCGGGGGAGATCGGGGGAGATATCAGGGGAGATGCTCCTAGTGACCCAGGAGACAGGCACAGGCCGGCAAATCTCCCAGGGGCCCCTGAAGGAAGCCTGCACTGAAGGGCACCAGGGACGGGGGAGGGCAGCAGACTTGGCAGGCATGGAGGTGGGCTGCCCTGCGGTGCTGGGCGTGGGGGCCGGGCTGAGGGAATGCCACCTGCTGGCTGTGTGCAGAGTTGCTTCAAGTCTTTGCGCCAGTTTGCCAAAGCACAGAGCAGCCCCCCACCCAGGGCCACAGGGAGGGGCACAGAGCCCTGCCCCAAGGTGAGTGAGCCCAAGCCAAGGGGTGATGATGACAGGAGCAAAGCCCCTCAACTGACCAAGATGGACAGACATCAATGTGTATGTTAAGCCACTGAGAGTTGAGAGGTGTTTCTCAGTCTGACGGGCACAGGTAGGTGTCGTCATCCCCGTTCTCCAGATGATAAAACTGAGGACTTGGCTTCTCCAAGGCACAAAGAAGAGCCCGGTCTGACACCTGTGTGCTGGGCGCTGGTGCCTGCGCACTGAACTCTGCCACCACAGCCACTGTGTCTAATGACAGGAGTGCCCCTCGCCTCCGAGAACTGGAGGCTCTCAAGTGTCTGCACCTGCTAAGGTTGACCGAGCTGCCTGGAATTTTCTTTTAAAGACAGCTTTCTAGACCTTTGTATTAATGCCCCAGGCTAACTAACAGCCTATTTACCGTCCGGAACGGAGCTGCTGGCTCTCCCCAAAATGGGCCATTTATGAAGGTGCTGCCTCGCAGTGTCCACGTGAGCAGCTGGGGGAGCTGAAAGTGTCGGCACATGCTAGGTGCTCACTAAAAGCTTTACCGAGTGAATGACTACATCGATGAATGCAGCAACACGCTGCAGCGAAAACCACGCCGGTGCCCAGGAGGAAGGCTCAATGAGTCTCTGCTGAGCTGGATCCATGAACGCGGCGCGAAATGAATGGCTGGATGGCTGGACAATAGTGGACTAAGAATCAAGAGCCCCATTCTGCACTAGCCTCATCGGGGCATCACTTGGTAAGTTATGGAAATGTCTACCATGCTGTACACCTGAGGGTAATATAACATTGAATGTCAACTATAATTGAAAAACTAAAAAAATTTTTTTTTTACGTTTAAAAAGAGCCCCATGCTGCCATTAATTTGCTGTGGGGCCTGGAACAAAGGCCCTTCCCTCTCTGGGCCTCTCTGCAAAAGGAAGGCCAAGGGCCAGGTGATCTCCGAGACCTGTTGCAGCGGCTGGTTGGTGACGGGGCTCCAGGTGCCCCCGTGGTCTGCCCTTGGGTCACCCCTCCTCGATCCTCTCCCTACGGCTGAAAGCCAGCATTCTCTCTGGTCTCTGGGCCAGCCTCTCGGGGATTTGTGATCACATACCCCATCAGCCAAACATCTGTGAGCTTGTGTCTCCGATATATTCAGTTCACAACGTGGGACTATTTTTTTTTTTTTTTTAATCCTCAACCGAGGACATTTTTCCATTTTTTGTTCAGATAGAGCGGGAGGGAGAGAGAGGAAGAGAGAGAGAGAGAAACATCGATGTGAAGGGACACATCGAGTGGCTGCCACCCGCACGACCAACCAGGGCCGGGGAAAAACTGCAACCGAGGTACATGCCCTTAGCGGGAACCGAACCCGGGTCTCTCTGTACCGCAGGCCGACGCTCCAACTGCTGAGCCAAATCGGCCAGGGTGTCAATGTGGGACTATTTGACCATAAAAATAGGATGTGCTTTAATTTTAAAATACACACGCGCGCACATGTGTGTAATAGAAGTGACGGGGTTAAGCACACACGTGAGCAGCGCTCGGGTATCTTCCTCCTGCTGTGCAGGCCAGTGCTCTGGTCAGCCAGCGAATCCGAGAAGTGAATCCAGGCGACACCCACCCAGCCCGGAAATACCACTGCATTCGAGAAAACCTGGAGAGGGGATCTCATTTCCAAAAGGAACACAGAACTTGAAGCAGTGTCGGCATGGGCCGGGCTGGGAAAGGAGCTGGGCAGAGTTTGGGGAGGAGGGAGCTGTCAGGGGACCCCCAAAGTGTGCAGCAATCACCAACACAGCTGCACCCACGACTGAGTGCTGGGGACCCGCCCTTGCAGGAGGAACTCTGAGGGGTGGTTAAGAACTGAACCGAGACCAGGCGTCAGGGCAGAGCTAGCTGGCATCCGTCTGGGCAGATGCCACAGTCCTCATGCTAGAGAGGAACCTGAGGTTTAGAAAGGTGAACTGAAGCCCTGGCCGGTTTGGCTCAGTGGTTAGAGCATCGGTCTGTGGTCCAGAGAAAGGTGAACTGACCCCCCTGCCCGTCGCGTGGCTTTAGGTTCCACACCCAGATTCGGAGCTCAGGAGCAGGGGCTGCAGCTCGTCTGTTTCAGGGACTGGGCAGCCCCCCACTCCCTTCCCCTCCCACTGCCGGGCCCCTCGGGTTTGGGTTGTGATCTGGCCCGGCCTGGGACCGGGGAGCTGGGGTGCGCTGGGGAGGCGGCTGGGCACTGGTGTCCTGCCCCACCCCGGCCGGGGTTTACCTGGCTCTTGTTGAATTCCTGCACAGCTGCTCGAACGGCCTTCCTGGTGGCGCTCTCCAGGTTCTGCAACTGCTTGGCCGTTTCGTCAAACTGCAGCCTGGTCTTCATGTAGAGGTCCTCTGAACGAAAGCAAACGGTCAAACCTGCGTGCCCACCCAGAGTCCCCTCCCAGGGGCGCCACTTCTTAGCACGGCCTCATCCGCAGAACCGGATGCCTCAGAGGCTGCTGGGAGACATCGATGAGTTAATTCAAGTAAAGCTCTCAGATCTGTGCCTGGCAGGGAGGGTTGGCAATCACTACTGTGGATGGGTCGTCGCGTCTGCCGTGGATGGGTCGTGTCTGCCGTGGATGGGTCACGTCTGCCGTGGATGGGTCGTGTCTGCCGTGGATGGGTCATGTCTGCCGTGGTCCCGGGACAGGGAGCAGTGGGTTCCTGCCCTCCATGACCTCTCAGGCTGCTACATCCTTACAGTGGGCAAGGGATGGTGGGAGCCCAGAAAAAGGGGAGCTCTGCCATGGGAACCAGATGGGGCTCCCCAGTGGAGGGGCGTCAGGTAACAGACATTGTGGAGTGGCAGTAGCACTTTGCCAACGAGGAGGAGGAGGAGGAGATGGAGAAGAAGGGGTAGGAAGTCAAGCGTCCAAACAGCATAACATAAAGATCCGGAGTCAGACAGTTTCTGGTCCAGCCTACGTGCTTCCTAGCTCTGTTAACCTGACCTACTTATTCCTCGACCTTTCGGAGCCTCCGGCCCTCACCTGTGAGGCAGGACAACGCCTACTTTGCAGGTTTGTCACGTTAAAAAATAAAAATGTCAGTACTCAGAAGGTTCTCCACCTGGTGTTTGTGCTGGTGGGTCTCCTTTTCATCTCCAAACACAAACACCAACACCCAAAACCTATATAATTAGATTAACCAATGTCACCCCGATAAATTCAATAAAGAAGGGAAAACAAAAACCGAACCCTTTAGTGGTGAATCCTGGGCTCCACTCCCCTTCAGCTTCATCTCTCACCTGGCGTCAGCCTGTCCGTTCACTTAACAAAGAGCCATCGAGAGCCTCACGGGGCCAGCTGCACGCTCTGCTGGGAACCCGGACACAGAGGGGCCTCCTGGGACTCGCTGTCCAGGAGACGAGGCCATAGACAGACAGATGCCGAACAGGCTCAGTACCGCAGAGTGACCGGGCTGCAGACGGTCCTGGGACTCGCTGTCCAGGAGACGAGGCCATAGACAGACAGATGCCGAACAGGCTCAGTACCGCAGTGTGACCGGGCTGCAGACGGTCCTGGGACTCGCTGTCCAGGAGACGAGGCCATAGACAGACAGATGCCGAACAGGCACAGTACCGCAGAGTGACAGGGCTGCAGACGGTCCTGGGACTCGCTGTCCAGGAGACGAGGCCATAGACAGACAGATGCCGAACAGGCTCAGTACCGCAGAGTGACCGGGCTGCAGACGGTCCTGGGACTCGCTGTCCAGGAGACGAGGCCATAGACAGACAGATGCCGAACAGGCTCAGTACCGCAGAGTGACAGGGCTGCAGCCGGAGAGGCTGCTGGGGCTCGTGGGGAAAGACTTCGGCAGTTGGGCAGAGAGGGAAAGAGAGAGTTTCTCTAGGAGGAGGTGGTATTTAAGCTCAGCCCTGAAAGACATGAGAAGCTGGTGGAGAGCAGGTGCAAAGGTTCGGAGGTTTGTCGGGACCCAGAAGTGGAAGTAAGCCAGAGGGGCTGGGACACAGGGAGTGCGTGAGGGCGTGAGGCGGTGTCGGAGGGCTGGGCGGTGGCCCCGGCGTGCAGGGCCTTGTAGGCTATGGTGGGGTCTGCACTTTCTCCCATCTGTCCTGGGAAGCCAGGAGAGGGCTTGCAGCTGGGGTGGAGGGAGTAGGGTGACCCTGTTCAGAAAGCAGCACCCTGACTGCTATGTGGAGAGTGGACCAGAGAGGGGCAAGAAAGAAAGGGGAAAACGACTAGAAAGCCCTTGGTGTGGTCCACACAGGTGGAAAAGGGGCTTGCGTGGCAGTGGTGACAGTACGGAAGGGAGACGCGGACAGTCGGAATATCTGCAGGAGGTAAGAAGGGACAGGAGCTGAGGATGGCCTGGAGGGTGGCCTGGGGGTCAAGGAGGACCACGGGTTTCTGGCTTGATTCAGGGAAGGAGGTGTCACTGGGGGAGGAAGCTCGAGGGAGGAGCTTGTCTGGGGAGAAATGCAGGGCTAGTTTCCTGGATGCTGTGAGATGTCTGGGGGTGGGGGAGGGGTGGGAACAGCTCAAGGACCACGCCCAAGGTGGAGACAAAAGCTCTCAGCCAGAGATGGAAAAGCGACTGGGAGGTGGATGGGACTTTTAAAGCCCCATGAGTGATTATTTCAACAAATATTTATCTCTGTGCCAGGAACTAAGGATGGAGCAGTGAATACAACAGACAAAACCTCCTGCCTCCGTGGAGCTTAAGAGATGGTACTGGAGAGGGATGACCGATACGTCACCGTGCAGTATGTCACTGAGCAACGCTACGGGAGAAACGAAGGAAGGAAAGGGGTAGGGAGTGTGGGGGGGGGTGAGGACACAGGGCTGCAACGTGTAATATTGGTCAGTGAGGCCTCCCTGATAAGACAACATCTTAGCAAAGACCTGAAGAAGGAGAGGGGTCAACTTGCAAATATCTGGGAAAATATATTTCCAGGCAGAAGAAGCCGTTAAGTGCAAAGGGCCTGAGACAGAAGTGGGCCTGACACACTTACGTTCTAGGAATAGCGAGGAAGCCAGGGTGACAAGGATGGGATCAATGAAGGGCAGCGCAGTAGGAGATAAGGTCAGACTGACCTTGTAGGTCCTTGAAATAGACGTGTTTTTTACACAGTGAAATGAGAAGCTAGTGGAAGATTTTAAGCAAAAGAGCTAGCTTAACTTTTAACAGAATCATTCTGGCGGCTGGGTGGAGATGAGATGAGGTCAGACGGGGACAAGGACAAGAACAGGGAGACCAGCAGAGGCCATTGCAACAATTCAGCCGAGAGAGCTGATAGCTTAGTCCAGAGTGGTGATGGTAGCCGAGATGTGGATGACTTCCTACTGGACTGGATGTAGCATTTGAGAGAAACGAAAGAGTCGAGATGACTTGCGGTTGGGGCCTGGACAACCGCAAGAATGGGGTTCCCACTGACAGAGGTGGAAGGCCAGGTGTGGGGGGATCATAAGAGTGTCCTACTGGCCTCATCCTGACATAGGCTGGACCCATGTCGTTCCCCTGGTCTTCCCAGCAGACTGTAAACAGGGCAGGGACTGGTTCTGAGTTACACGGGGCCCCAGCACCCACTGGAGCCCAGACAGAACGCAAGTTCAGAAAGAGCTTCCTGTGTCACTGACATGGGACCAGAGATGTTTAAACCTGGAACGCAGGTTCTGATGTCTCTCTCCCTCCACGGCAGGACATTAACAGGACTTCAAAACAAAACAAAAATGGGAGCTGGCCTGTTAAAGAAAGTATCGAAATCAACCCTTGTTTTTGTTTCCTTACCTGCACGTTTGTGGTCGGCCCGAGCATTCTTCCGTTCCCTTTGCTGTTGCAAGGACCATTCTCGGTTCTGTTCCTGTTGGAACTTCTTCCTCTCGTGGAAGTTCAAATCCTCTCCCATGAACCTCTGCATCCCCGACACTGTGTTCCGATCATCATTATCTGACCGCCGGGCTGGAAGATCTTTCTTAAGGGCTAGGGGGTCAGAAAGGTCGAATTCTCTGCGACTTTCTGGCTTCTGAAGGCTCTGCTGGAAGTCGGTGATAGCTTTGCAGAGATTCTTCCTATCTCTTCTTTCCCGGTCTTCCAATGTGCATGTGGTCTTGTCACTGCGCCTCATTTCAGCAGCTAGAAGAGACGTAGATTATCTATAAGCTTAAGACTGAGAGGGGAAAGTAAGTTTGATGCCATGGTAAAAAATAATTTTTAGTGATTCTAAAAGTAATACAACCCTCCAAAAAAAAAAAAAGTAACATAATGCCCTGGCCGGTTTCTCAGTGGTTGGAGCTTCAGACCAAAGAGTCACAGGTTTGATTCCGGTCAAGGGCATGCACTTTGGTTGCAGTTCGGTCCCCAGTCTTGGTCAGGGTCATGCAGGAGACAACCAATCGAGGTGTCTCTCTCACAATGATGTCTCTCTCTCTCTCTCTCTCCCCTCCTCCTCCACCGCCTCCTCCTCACACTCTATCTGAAGATAAATGGAAAAATATCCTCGGGAGAGGATTTTTTAAATAAAAGTAACATAACCATTAAAAGATTAGAATCCTGAATGCACAAAGCACACCCTATAAATCAATAAGAAAAACAACAACAGCCCTGGCCGGTTTGGCTCAGCAGTTAAGAGCGCTGGCCTACGGACCAATGAGTCGTGGGTTCAATTCTGGCCAAGGGCACGTACTTTGGTTTCAGTTGGTCCCCGGCCCTGGTCAAGCCATGCGGGAGGCAACCAGTTAATGTGGCTTTATCACATCAATGTTTCTCTAGGTCTCTCTCTCTCTCCTTCCCTCCTACTCTATCTGATAATAAATAGAAAAGGAATAAAAAAAAACAAAAACCAACAACCACCAAAAATGGGCAAAGGATAGGAAAAGGCAAATAAAGAAACATGAATAATCAATAAACTTGTGAAAAGATGATTAACCTTACAAGATGATTAGAAACACCCCAAAATTAGCAAAGTATTTAAAATGCTAATAATAGCACTATTCAGATGTGGGGAAATGAGATTCTTCATTCACTGCTGTGGGAGGGTAACCTGGTACACTTATAACTTTGGAAAGCAGTTTGCCAGTATCCCACACTGAAAACATGCATATCCTATGACCTAACAAGCCGACTTCTAGGTATCCCTCACTCATGTACACAGGGATGTAATGCATGGGTAGTCACTGCAGCATTATTTACAATCATAAAAAGAAAAAAAAAACTGAAAAAAAATCTAAATCAGCCATCAGTGGGAGAATGGATAAAGGAACTTTGTCTAATTCATATAACAAAATATCAGAAGACAATATCGGGCCCACAACCTGGGCATGTGCCCTGACTGGGAATCAAACTGGTGACCTCTTAGTACATGGGTTGATGCCCAGCTACTGAGCCACACTGGCAGGGCTGATTTATTTTTCTATTTTTTTTTTGTTGTTGTTCAGTTTGGCTCAGCGATTAGAGCGTCAGCCTGCGGTCCGGAGAGACCCGGGTCCGGAGAGACCCGGGTTCGGTTCCCGCTAAGGGCACGTACCTCGGTTGCAGTTTGTCCCCAGCCCTGGTTGGGTCATGCAGGAGGCAGCCACTCGATGTGTCCCTTTCACGTCAATGTTTCTCTCTCTCTCTCTTCCTCTCTTTCCTTCCCACTCTATCTGAACAAAAAGAGGAATAATGTCCTCGGGTGAGGATAAAAAAAAAAGACAGGTAAAACATTTAGAAAACAGAACGTATGAAGAAAATAAACTTCACTAATAATTTAATCACTCCAAATGACCACTGCTAACATTCTGGCATGTTTCCTTTCTTTTTCTAAGCATATCTTTCATATATTTTAAAAATTAATTGATAACCCATTGTATATAAAATTTTCTACCCTTTTTTTTCTAATTTTTTTAAACAGGAAAAAAACAAATTTATTGCCTATGTATATATGGGGGTTCCATAAAAATATGGGGCCCCCTTTTTCCTATTTTAAAAATCCTTACAAAATGCTTTAACCAAATAAGCTGAAATTGTTGCACATGATGTGGATTTTGTTTGAAATTTTTATCTAAAAGCTAGAACACTATTTTTTTTTATTTTTTATCCTTACCAAGGACATTTTTCCATTTTTTGTTCAGATAGAGTGGGAGGAAAAGAGAGAAACATCAACGTGAAAGGGACACATCAAGTGGTTGCCACCCGCATGACCCTATCAGGGCCGGGGACAAACTGCAACTGAGGTACATGCCCTTAGCGGGAACCTAACCCGGGTCTTGCTGGACCGCAGGCTGACGCTCTAATCGCTGAGCCAAACTGGCCAGGGCTAAAAGCTAGAACACTATTATTTGAACCATAGCAAGTTGTTCTGAGTCAGCTCAGGGGTGTGAGCTGGGAATTTGTGTGTGTCATCTAGTGTGAAGGGCTGTCCCTGACAGAAGGTTTTGAACTTTTGAAAGAGAATGTGTGCATTTAACATTTTTCATATCCAGTTTTTGTTGTTTTTTTTTGTTTGGAAAAAAATATATATCCTCAAATACTTCTTAGAATTCACAGAGGAAGAATTAACACATTATGTTAAATGAGCACAAAGAATTGTAAAATTTTAAAAGGAAAGAGAGTACAAATGACAAGTTTCTACATAGGTAAAGAAATGACCCCTGGCTGGTTTGCTCAGTGGTTAGAGCATCAGCCCTCAGAGAAAAAGGTCTTGGGTTCGAGTCCCAGTCAAGGGCACCAACTGGGTTACAGGTTCCATCCCCAGCCCTGGTTGGGGTCATATGGGAGGCAACCAATCACATTGATCCCCCTCACCTTCCATTCAATCTCTATCTAAAAATTAACGGGAGAATATCCTTGGGTAGGAATTAACAAAGAAAAAAATGAGGAATGGAGTCTAAAGGTGCACAGCCCTAAAATGCTAGCTAGGCATTTAGGAAACGCTCACCAAATGTTTCATGTCTGGCTTTTTCAGTTGCCTCTCTTATCTTCTGGTCATGAAGCTGAATATCCCAGGCTTCTGCATCTCCCTGGAATGGAAAGCAAGGGGAGAGGAGTTAGAGCCAGATCATTTTATTCTGCTCTTAACAATCCTACTTATCTTTTTATCCTTGCCCCACTGTCAAAGTATTGTCTTAGGTTCACACTAGGTTTTTTCATACCTGAATGCCGTTGCTTATCATTGATTCTCCAACCTGTCCTCTTAACTTCCCTCTGAGCTTCCTTCCCCCTTACCTTAGTTAACATACTCATCCTCACAGCACTGCTTAGACATCACCTCCTCTGGGAAGGCCTCTCTGATTTCCCAGCTCCAGTCTGTGCTCCCCTCCTTCACTACATTTTAATGTGACCATTTTAATGTCTGCCTCCTCCACTGGTGCATAAACCCTTAAGGTCAAGAACTGCTTTATTCCTCATCTCCTGGGCCCATCTCAGTCTTGCCACAAAATTTTGTGAAATGAATGCACTGAAGGGAAATCGTGTTAATGTAGAAAATCTGGCTCAGAGAGAGGAGAACGCCATTGTAGTCTGTCTTTGGCCACAAACGCCAGCCCAACTCCCTCCCCACTGCAGGACTCCATTTGCCTGTCTGGCTAGTGAAGAGTATAAGGTCTCTCTCATCCTCAGCAAAGTGAATATGTCGAATTAGTCCCCCCCCCCCCCCCGAAAACACCTGGTGTCGTTTGCAGCCGTGCCTGGGTCAAAAGTTTCATTCAAGCAGTTCATCTCTCCCCAGCCCGCCTCTCGGCCCCCACCTGCCCCTCCACGCCCCAAGCCCCCACCCCCCCACCCCCAAACCGGCTCCTTTCCCTGTTGGGCCCTAAGGTCTCACCCCGATGATCCTGTTCCTGGCATTAAAGATCCGGTTCTGCCTGCACAGCTCCGCATGTCTCCTCTTGGCCAAGCCAAGGGACTGTTCCAGGTCTTTGGGCTGCACTATGTCCATGGCTGGGAATCCCTAAGAAATTCTAAGAGGTTTTAAAACACGCAAGTTGGAAAGAGAAGACAACAAAAATAAGACAAGCTGAAGCCCGAGCCAAGCGGCTCCCGAGGAGGCGGGTCGGTGGGATGCGCGACGACTCCCCAGGCGCTGGGCGCCGTCTTCCCGGACAGCGCGCGCCCAGCGCTAGGAGACCAGGTCTCCTCCGAAACGTAAACAGCCGGTTGCTAAGGAACGACGCGGCGCTCCTGGAGGTCCCGCTCTCCTCTCGCGAGAGGCCACGAAGTTCTTCCCGCGCTTTTCCCGCCGGCGCGCGAGGACGCCGGCGAGGCGCGGAGGCCGCAGCCATGGGCCACTTGGAGCTCCTGCTCGTGGAGAACTTCAAGTCGTGGCGGGGCCGCCAGGTCATCGGCCCCTTCAAGAGGTTCACCTGCATCATTGGACCCAACGGCTCCGGTAACTGGACCCGGACGCCTCCGCCCGCCCGCGCCTCCGGGCCTCATTCCGCCCGAGCGGACCGGGACCTCCGCGCGCCCCCCCGCCCGCCGGGCCTCTCCGCCCCGCTCCTCCTGCCCGGGTTCCCCCTCGTCCCCCACCCCGTCCCTTTCTCACCGTGGGAGACTCCGCGGGCGCGGCCGGGGGCTCCACGCGGGAACATGGCGGCCGTGGCGCAGTTCGCCGAGCTGGGCCGAGGCCCGGCCCCGCTTCTCTAGAACCCTCCGAAGGGGCGCGGTCGCCATTCGATAGTTGCGGGAGCCGGGGTTCCGCAGGCCTCCCCCCACCCCCGGCCGGCAGGTTAAACCCGGGTGTTCGGGCCTCCGCCCGGCGTTCTCTCTGGTTCGGACGCCGTGTTCACGGGGACGTGCCGGCGCCTCGTGAATGAGTTGCCGTGACGACGGGGCCAGGGCCGTTGAGGGGGTGCTTCCCGGCGCCCCGCGGCTGCAGCGTCGTCACGTCACCGGGCTGCGGTACCGGCCCGCGGGGAAGGAGCGGCTCCGAATCGGGCCGCGTGCTCTCGTGTGCTCCTGTGTGCCCCCGCGTGCCCTCCTGTGTGCCCCCGCGTGCCCTCCTGTGTGCCCCCGCGTGCTCCCGTGTGCCCCCCACGTGCCCTCCTGTGTGCCCCCGCGTGCTCCCGTGTGCCCCCCACGTGCCCTCCTGTGTGCCACCGCGTGCTCCCGTGTGCCCCCCACGTGCCCTCCTGTGTGCCCCCACGTGCCCTCCTATGTGCCCCTGCGTGCTCCAGTGTGCCCCCGCGTGCTCTCGTGTGCTCCTATGTGCCCCGCGTGCTCTCGTGCCCTCCTGTGTGCCCCCGCGTGCTCTCGTGTGCTCCTATGTGCCCCGCGTGCTCTCGTGCCCTCCTGTGTGCCCCCGCGTGCTCTCGTGTGCTCCTATGTGCCCCCGCGTGCTCTCGTGCCCTCCTGTGTGCCCCCGCGTGCTCTCGTGTGCTCCTATGTGCCCCCGCGTGCTCCAGTGTGCCCCCCACGTGCCCTCCTGTGTGCCCCCGCGTGCTCCCGTGTACCCCCACGTGCCCTCCTGTGTGCCCCCGCGTGCCCTCCTGTGTGCCACCGCGTGCTCCCGTGTGCCCCCCACGTGCCCTCCTGTGTGCCCTCTTGAGTGCCCCCGCGTGCTCCTGTGTGCCCCCACGTGCCCTCCTATGTGCCCCTGCGTGCTCCAGTGTGCCCCCGCGTGCTCTCGTGTGCTCCTATGTGCCCCGCGTGCTCCCGTGTGCCCCCGCGTGCTCTCGTGTGCTCCTATGTGCCCCCGCGTGCTCCAGTGTGCCCCCCACGTGCCCTCCTGTGTGCCCCCGCGTGCTCCAGTGTGCCCCCGCGTGCTCTCGTGTGCTCCTGTGTGCCCCCGCGTGCTCTCGTGTGCTCCTATGTGCCCCCGCGTGCTCCAGTGTGCCCCCGCGTGCTCTCGTGTGCTCCTATGTGCCCCCACGTGCCCTCCTATGTGCCCCCGCGTGCTCCAATGTGCCCCGTGTGCTCTCGTGTGCTCCTATGTGCCCCCGCGTGCTCCAGTGTGCCCCCCACGTGCCCTCCTGTGTGCCCCCGCGTGCTCCAGTGTGCTCTCGTGTGCTCCTGTGTGCCCCCGCGTGCTCTCGTGTGCTCCTATGTGCCCCCGCGTGCTCCAGTGTGCCCCCGCGTGCTCTCGTGTGCTCCTATGTGCCCCCACGTGCCCTCCTATGTGCCCCCGCGTGCTCCAATGTGCCCCGTGTGCTCTCGTGTGTTCCTATGTGCCCCCGCGTGCTTTCGTGTGCTCCAGTGTGCCCCCGCGTGCTCTCGTGTGCTCGTGTGCCCCCGCGTGCTCTTGTGTGCCCCCACGTGCCCTCCTGTGTGCCCCCGCGTGCTCCTGTGTGCCCCCGCGTGCCCTCCTGTGTGCCCCCGCGTGCCCTCCTGTGTGCCCCCGCGTGCTCTTGTGTGCCCCCCCACGTGCCCTCCTGTGTGTCCCCGCGTGCTCCTGTGTGCCCCCGTGTGCTCCTGTGTGCCCCCGTGTGCTCCTGTGTGCTCCCGCGTGCCCTCCTGTGTGCCCCCGCGTGCTCCTGTGTGCCCCCGCGTGCCCTCCTGTGTGCACGCCGCCCGTGGGCAAGACGCTGGTGTCACCCCGCCGTCTGCACACCCGTTGTCCCCGTCACCGGCCCTGCAGCTGGCTTCTCCATTAGGGGGCTGCCTGGTTGGCTCAGCGGGTAGAGCGCCGGCCCGCAGACCGGAGAGACTCGAGTTCGGTTCCCGCTAAGGGCACGTACCTCAGTGGCAGTTTGTCCCCAGCCCTGGTAGGGGGCATGTGGGTGGCAGCCACTCGATGTGTGTGTCTCACATCCATGTTTCTCTCTCTCTTCCCTCCTCTCTCCCTCCCCCTCTATCTGAAGATAAATGCAAAAATGTCCTTGGGTGAGGAAATAAATAAAGTTTCGAAATAATCTTACTTTTTTTTTTTAATCCTCACCCAAGGATATTTTTCCATTGGTTTTTGGATAGAGTGGAAGGGGGAGAGGAACATCATATAGGAGAGACAAATAGATTGGTGGCTTCCCCCATGACCCCGACCGGGATTTAACTTGCAATGCAGGTACATGCCCTTGACTGGGGATCGAACCCACAACCTTTCGGGTCTGTGGGCTGGAATCGAACCTACAGCACTTCGGGTCCATGGGCTGATGCTCTAGCTGCTGAGCCAGAACCCGCCAGGGCTTATTACTTTCCTTAACTTGGAAATGCATATTGTGGAAATGCCTTTACAGGTTCTCCTCGCCCCTCTCTAGATCCACATGCCCTGGAAGCTGACTCCCCGTTTTTGAACCGGAAAGCTTCCACATTGCCTGCAGCACCCTCTCTCCACAGCAGACACTTCTGGGTGACTTACTGCTCAGTTTTCCCAAAGCAGTCGCGTGCTTTGTGCCATACGAAGGCCAGAACTCTGTATGTCACTCATCCGTGACTCACTCACAGAGTGACATTTCACTTTATTTCATTTGATCACTTCTCAGGAGATCATTTTTTAATCTTACAGAGTTACTGAAACCTTCACATGCACTTTGTATTGTTTATACAAATGATTTGGGTACAGTGAGACATTTTTATTAGAAAGTGGTGGAAACCCTCCCAAAATCCACATCCCCAGGTGCCAGCAGGCCTTTCAAAGTATAGCAGGCTCGGACCTGCTATATAACTTTCCTGCACCACCAACTCCTACCGGTCATAAATACTCTAGCAGCCTTAGACTAGCGCTTGGGAACATCCTGGATATAGTTAGCCATTTAGAAAAATATGTGATGGTTAATAGTTATGAAGTGGGGAGCACTGAAATTAGAGAAATTAGATGATTTGCCATGGTACAATATTTAAAAATGGGAGAGAGTTGGAGTTTGGGTCTATATGTTTAGATCTTTATCTTAGACCACTTAATACTCTACTGGAGCTGCATGAAGGAAACCAGTGATCTACGTAAAGTTCACTCACAGGCATTTTGACTGTAGACAAGACAGTCTCTTTAGACATGTATTGGCTATATTTCACTTCCATTGGTGGTCTGGATCTTTGGCTCTGGGAAAGGTGTGTTTGTTGTTACCATTAATGAATAACTCCTCTCTCTTCTCTCCTCACCCTTCCCCTCCTTTTGTCCTCAGGAAAATCTAATGTAATGGATGCACTTAGTTTTGTAATGGGAGAGAAAACAGCTAATTTAAGAGTGAAACATATTCAAGAACTTATTCATGGAGCACATATTGGAAAGCCTGTTTCTTCCTCTGCAAGTGTAAAAATTGTATATGTGGAGGAAAGTGGAGAAGAGAAAACATTTGCAAGGATTATTCGAGGTACACTTTTGTAGATGTTTGTTTCAGTCATCTGATTTTTCCAGAGTTAAGTCAGATTACCTGTTCTACTAGCCTAGTGAACTAGAGAGTCTTTTTCCCCCCTTTCAGAGAGCACTTTTCAGGAGCAAGTAATGGAACTGGTTTGATTCTCCACTGGAACTCTTTAAGCAGATGTATTTGTTCAAACTTCTCCATTGTCCAGAAGCATTTCTACTTGATTATTAGGTTAAAATGAAGAAGGACATTATACAAGTCCTTCCTGAGGTTGCTTATTTATCTTGTTTTCTTAGTGATGAACTAATTATATGCATATTTTTTGGTTTGGATAGAAAGTTTTTTCTACCACCAAAAAGCAACTTTGGTGAAATACCTGAATTTGCACTTTGTGATTTGTTTATTAAGTCCATGTTTCCTGAGTAAACAGTATTGGGATTGTGTGTGTGTATGTGTGTGATCTATATGCTAGGAATTGACAGAGCCTCTATAAAATAGGTGTTTCATGGTTTTGTTTTTGTTGTTGCTATTTTCATTCTGGCCTACTAGAACATGGTTTTAATGTTCTAATCTCTGAACACTGTTTTATTAACTTTACCCAAATTCAATCACAGATAATTTTAGAAATACTTATACATACATATTTGTACCTTAATGTCTAATTTATTTTACTACTTTATTACCTAGATATCGTCATTGG